TAACATCGATTATTAAGAAAAAAGAATTTACATGGTAACCTTAAGGAAATTTGCAAGCAGCTAAACAGCAGGAGTTGCCATCCTGGCTTTAATTATGTAAATTAGGCTGATTCAGAATCAGAGATCTGCCTCCTTCTTTTTGCTTTGTGTTGGGAATAAAGGCATGTGCCTTCACCAACTGCTTCAAATATTTTTTCTTAACTCCATATCATTGTAACTCAAAGACTTTAAATGAAAATCAAGCAAAGAGACAAGAAAATTTTAAGTTTTGGGTCAGTTGTGCCAATTTACGCTGTAACAAGCAAAGCCCAGTTGGTTATTTTTTGGAATGATAATTCAGTGAATTGGAGGACCCTTACCAGAAAGAGCTGTCAAATATCTTGCAGCCAGAGAGCTTTGATATTTAGTCGTTACTAATCTAATTATTAGGAAGAATGCCCTTTTTATTGTCTGTAATCTTGTAGCTGAACAGACAGTTGAGCATTAAAAGCCCTGGTTTGGGCTCAGTGATTAAGAGCACTGGCTGCTCTTCCAGAAGTCCAGAGTTCAATTCCCAGCAACCACATTGTGCCTCACAGCATCTATACTATGATCTAATGCCCTCTTCTGGCATGCAGGTGTACACGGAGATAGAGTGATCATATACATTAAATAAATAAATCAATCTTAAAAAGAGAGAAAGAAAGCTCTTGTTTGTCCTCACAAAAGTCTAGAGTTTCATTTCCAGGACTTGCATCAGGTACCCTCTTCTGACCTCTGTGGGTACTTGCTCCCCTTTTTGTCTCTCTCTCTTTGTCTCTTCTCAGACATACACAAACAAATGCCTTAAGAAAAGAAGAAAGAAAGGGAAAAGAAAAGAAAACCCTAATTGGCCTACTGTCATTCCTTGGCTTGGAGACTTTAATCAGATGGGTTAATAACGGCACCAACAGCTTTGTGGTCACAATCTTTGGCCATATTTGTGCCCAGAATGGATGAAAAGTTATGCATGTGAAATGTCCTTAGGGTTCAAAGACACCATATAGAAATTCTACTGTCCTGCAACTTTTATCATTTTACAACATAGATGGAAAAGAACTGTTTTCCAAGGTCTGATCATTTCCCTTCTGTCTTTATTCCTTAAATAGTAACTAAATATCTAGGGGCCTTTGCAAATTCTTTCTCTCTCTATTTCTCTCTCCCTCTCTCTCTCTCTCTCTCTTTCTGTGTGTGTGTGTGTGTGTGTGTGTGTGTGTGTGTGTGTGCTCATGATGATTTACCTTTTATGTGAAGGCTAGAGGACAACCTCAGCAGTTGTTCTTCAAAAGACACTACCCACCTTACTTTTCGAGACAAAAATCTCTCATTGGCCTGGAGCTTACTTAAGGAAGTTAGGGCAGCCAGCCCCAGGGACCCACATCTCACCTCCCCAGCACTGGGATTATGAGCAAAGGCCACCATTTCCAGCTATTTACAAGGTACTGGGAATCAAACCTAGGTCCTCATGCTTGCACAACAAGCATATTTTTTTCAGCATCCATATCACAATTTTTTTTAATTTCCATTTATTTACTTTACATTCTAAGGGTGCCCTCTCCCTCCTCTCCTCTCAGTCTTCCCTTCCCCTCCTTTCCATTTCCCCTCTCCTTCTACCCCAGAAAAGGGGAGTCCCCTTACCCCATATCAACTCTCCCAGCACATCAAGTCACATTGGGACTGAGCATGTCCTCATCCCCTGAGGCCAGGCAAGGCAGCCCTGCCAAGCAGAAGTGATCCAAAAGCAGGCAATAGAATCCATGTTAAAAGAGCTCACATTTGAGACCAAGCCACCCAGTGGCCACATATGGCCACCTAGGCAGGGGACCTAGGTGAAGATCATGCATGCTCCTCAGCTGCTGTCTCAGTCCTACACAACAAGCCTATTATAGACAGATTTATCTCCCCGGCCTGCGACCTCATCCTTAAAGGCAGAAGTTATAACAAGGACAGTCATCTTTCAAAATTGTGTGGCTCTTGATATTTAAAGATCACAAGGGGATGGGGAGATCTGTGTCACCATTAAAATGAAGGCATTGACTTCATTCCATACCTCCAAACTCAGGTCCTCTGTCTTCAGTACCCATGTTTACATTTCAAGTCAAGCTGAAGTCAGATTCTGCATTGAGCTTTAGTAATTCATTAGTAACATGGTTCTCAGACACCGGACCGTGGTAATTTGTCTTTCTGTTTTAGTTTTAGGCGGGATTAGGTCTGACCGTCTGCTGTGTGTTTTACTGATAATGTGATACGATGTCTCAAGAATGATTTCATTTCTTCCAGATTCCCATCAAACAATGATCCTCTTGATTCCCAAGCCCTTAGATAAGGAAGTTTGAGAAATTTGATCCTTGAGTAGATTTGATCCCTGTGCAACCTGAAAACCTTTTAAAAGTTGAGCAATGGTGTGTATGTGTATATATACATGTGCTCTCTCTGTCTGTGGACGTGTGTGTGCATGCCTGAAGTTGCATGTTCACCTGTATGAGCAGAGGCCAGTGCTGATATCTTCCTAATTTACTCTCTACCTTGTGTTTTTGAGTCAGAGTCTCTCTCTGAACCTGGAGCTCATCAGTCCTACAACCTGATAACCAGCTCCAAGGATCCTCCTGCCCTCACCTCCCCTACACTGCTATGCTCACCTCTTTATGTGATGCAAACTCGGGCGTTCATGTTTGTGCAACAAGCACTTGACCAACTCGGCCATCTTGCCAGCCCCTGAAAAACTCACTCTTTGGATTAAGGGCTATAAAGTCTCTAACGAGGGAAAGGTGGCATAGAAAGATGGAGAAATGAAGGGACATGGGGCAGAAACAGAGATTACAACAGAACAACGTTCCTCTGGGTCTGGTCTTTGTCTTTCATGGACAGGGAGTCAAAAATCCTAACACTGGCAGAGCAGTCCACTGTCATTCACCAGTACAGAAAGATGATTGGGATAGCCAACGAAAAACACATATGCCCTCAGGATAAAATTATTTGGGTTGGATTGGGGAGGTAAACATGTCCTTTTCTTTTCTTTTTTTATTTTTCTTTTTTTTTTTCTGGCTGTCAAGGCATTTGTTTCTTGGAAGAAATAGAGATGCAGAAGGGAACGAGTGATAAATCATTGGACCACAGACAATATTTTAGGGCAGTAACACTATTCCATATAATAATACTGTAATGGTGAATATGTGGCATATATATTTGCCAAAAATATAGTAATATATAAGCAGTGATATAGCAATGACTAGATCCCCATTCTATCTTAACAGCCCTTCTTCCTCATATGCAAGCCTCTCAGCATGCTCACATTAGGTATCACAGCTATCCCATTAAAGAGAGAAATCTCTGTTCATAACTACACCATCACATCCTGCCTTGTGTTTAGTGGTAGATTACCAGTTTAAAGAATGTATTCCAAATGTCACAACCTATGTACACAGTGACTATACAGAGTCTATGTAGTCATATACACTTAGGTATATTTTTCTTTTTTCTTTTTTCCATGCTTGTATTGAATTCCCTTCAGTGTTTCCTCTTTGCTTAAAAATTCTAAGTTTCTGTTAAGCTGACTCAACTTGAAGTTCTTTTTGGTGACAGAAATCAAGTACTGAGTCCCTGACTACAGTTGTTCAGGTGTCCCCTGGGAGCAGGAAGAACTCAAGCCATAAAGAAGATGATTTAGCTGTTGTTAGGATGTCATTTCTTATACTCAGTTAGTCTTACCCCTTCTGCCTGTCTCAGCTGATGGCTTTACACAAAGATCACACTTGTGTGTGGTGAAGAAGGGCCCATTACTAGGAAGACTTTCTCAATGTAGTAAAAGAAAAGAGGTCATGGCAACTTGATTTTTAAGAAGCAGAAGGTGTTGCTGGAGCATCGCTCATAGTAACAACTGTGTGAACTCCACTGCCACTCTACAGCTGGGGATGGGGCTCCACCAGGGAATGGAGCTAGCTGTCTCTCAACAGATTCATGCTCATGCAAGTGAGCAAAGGAAGGAGACTCTGCCAGGCAAATCAGAGCTTTAACCTGCTGCCTGGACATTCCATCTCACTGGGGGTAACACTGGTTTTCTTAGAAGACCCCCAGGGTCTTACATGATCCCTAAGTACAGCTTTTCTGAAGTTCCATCCATCCCTTCCTCCTCCACTCACTGGTAGACATACTGGACTCTGTCTACATGCTTGCCAGCACATATGCCCCTAAGTCACAGCTTGCTGTGCTCAAAGCCTGAAATTCATCTTCCCCCGTATTCCTCTACAACGTTATTAGTCTTTCAAAAATGGCCCAGAAGCCCTCCTGTCTGACCCTTGGTTTAAGGTTCTAAGGTTCATGGGTCTCATAAATCTATTGATAGAAACAATATTACTCCTCAGTTATTCTGTCCTTGGTCTGAGGGTCTCAGAAGAGACAGAGTAGAAGTCATTTTTTTCATCTTCCACAGACTCTACATAATAGATTAAGTTTCCACTGGTAACCTCTAACTCTCATCTAAGAGATAAAAAAAAATCTAGGTATGTCATTTATGGCTACTGGTCCCAACCATCCAAAAACATCAAAACAAACAAAAAAAAAAAGACACTGACTCTGAGAATTATCATAATGTTGGACTCCAGAACATCAACAGAAGGCTCATACCAAAGAGCAAAAGAATATATTGGTAGGGACTGAAAGACTCCTAGGCCAGGTCATTATGAACTACCCATTTTCCAATTCAAAGCGTACAATACAAAATTATTTCTTTTAAGAAATAAACTCCGTATATGTATTCCTGGCTAACACAACCTCTGCATGGAAAGTGAAAAGATAGCACACTCAGCCCATTAAATGAGCACAGTTTTAGCCATTGTCTAGAACACATGGTGCCTGGCATATCACTACAGCACATATCGGCCTGTTACACTATGTAGATTTTTTTTTTTTTTTACAAAATGCTTCCCCAACGCTTAACTTCTCTCTACCCTCATAGATCATAGTCATTAAGAAACGGAATTTACCCATGTCATCATCACACTGAAAAGGTAGTGCATAATCCAAATCTTCACGGGGTGTTGGAGAGCAGGAGGTACGTCAATAGTGAGGAGATGGTCTATGAGAATCCAGACATTGACTCCCATGACCAGAAGACACAAGGCAGCGAGGAACATTTCGACGGGATCCAAAAGCAGCATGGCACTCTTGTTTGTTCAGAGTGAGCAGAGGAAAACCTGTCCCTTAAGACTTCTTGTTCAGCCACAAACCCAGGCACCTTATAACCTGCTGAGAAACACCATGGCCTGACTCCACCTCACATAAGCTGTTCTTGATATTGAAAGCATCCTCTTGTGAACTCATTGCAACAGATCACAGCCTGGACAAGCTCCTACCCAGCAACAGTGGAGCCCTAGCACCATGTCCCAAGGTAGGTCAGTCTTTCATCATACCCAGCACTGACCATCCTGGATAGCAAATGGACTTCCAGCGGAGAAAAGACTGAATGGAAGGAGATGCCAGTCCACAGCCCGATCTGTGGGAGGTTGGGAAAATGGAATGGAGGTGTGTGCTGTTCTCTGTGATGCTCCTCTCAAGTGTGAAATCAGAGATTAGAGCAGTGGTGTGTGTGCCAAGGTAAACCACAATGAGGAAGAACACAATGGAGCGAGGGAGCAACCGAACATGTTCCTTCCTTACCTACCCATTTCTACTTCCTCGCCTGATCTGCTCAATGTCAAAACACACTGTGCCCTTGCTGACCTTGTTCTGACTCTTCTCCATGTGGATAAAACACTGGAACATCTAGGATAGCTTGTTTCATCTTCCGCAGAAACCTTGATACCAAGGCAGAAGTACTGAGTCCGTAGAAGATGCACACTATTGTACCTTGCTCTGCTGAGGGGGAGCACGGGAGACTTTAGATCAGGTGTTCTCAACCTGTGGGTCAAGACCTTTTGAGGGATGGAATGACTCTTGCAGAGGTCACCTAAGCCCTGTAGTGAGAATGTTGGTTCCTTTTAAAATGCAGTTATGGTATGTAAACATGTTTTCGTTTTGATCCCAGGTGTGGGATATGGGCTGCTTCAGATTGTTCACAGTAAATAATTGTGATTTGTCTTGTGCTCTAGCAGGGGCAAGATTCTGACAGCTGAAGGCAGTTTATGTTTGGAATCCTGGGGACTCTTGAGAGGGTAGAAAAATGCCAGAGGCCCGAGAGAAGGGTGGCTACTGCTGTACCTGCTGCTGCTGCTGGTCCCTGCATCTGTTGGTGGTCCCAGCTGCTGCTGGTTCCTGCTGCTGCTGTTGTGATTGCTGGATTGCAGGATTGCTGGATTGCTGGATTGCTGGTTGCTGGTTGCTGGTTGCCAAGTGGAGACAACCTGATAACAATTAGACTTCCCACAAGAAACTCGATGCCCCTAACCAGCAGGAAATAGTCTAAAGTGATCTACACACGCTTTACTGTCTACCCTTTTTTGCCTACCTAGTGTTGCGGGGGGGGGGTGAAATGGATTGGGGTGGAGGAAGGTGGTATTTATAAGAACTGAACAAATAGCCAGAGGCCTGGTTACAAAGACCATCAGAAAACATAGATATTCACGTTATGATTTATAACAGCAGCAAAGTTATAGCTACGAGGTAGCAGTGAAAATAATTTCATGGTGGGGGGCCATCACAACATGAGGATCTGTTAAGGGGTTGTATCATTAGCAATGCTGAGAATCCCTGCTTTAGAAATAGCTAGTATATTTCAGAGGATTCTCAAGTGGATCCTCTCTGAGATGAGCCTTGAGATAACATGAGCTCTAGCTGACCCTTGATCAGAGCTGACCTGAGCCAAAGCAACTAGGGAAGTCCTCTCTGTCCAGGGTCCTACCCAAGAGAAGCAGAAAGACACTGATTTTTTTTTTCTGTTTTCAGCTGCAAATGCAGAGGGTGATATCATGTAGGGGGTAAGAAGTAGTGATGAGCACTGTGAGTCCCCAGAGTGGAATGCTGCCATCCCAGAAACCTAAAGATGTGGTTTGTGGACTTGAACTTATACTCAGTGGGCATCATTCATTTCATAAAATTGATATGCTACAATTTTCCCAGAAGAATTTTCAAAGGCCCATAAAACCATTAGACTGAAATTATTAAGACTTGAAATCTGCATCTTCGAAGAAACCAGAAACTTCCACTTCATCGGTCATATGATTAGATTCATCAGAACGCTTCTTCTAAACAAAGGGGAATTCTTTATAGAGGTGGAAGGGTATTTATGACGTTAAACCTCTTCTATTTTCTTCCACTTACATAGTGCACAGATACACACAAAGGAAAACACCTATTCACATAAAACAACACAAAAAGGAAAACATGCAAGATTTAGTGACATTATGTAAATCAACAAAATGAAGCAGTAGGTTTCTCATGTAATTTCCAAATCCAAGTTGATGCAAAGATATGAGCCTCTGGATTGAAGCTCAGCAATCCGGAGAGAGGTCAGCTCTCCTGGAGAATGAACACACTGGGACTCTTTGTACCAAATACATGTTTAATTTGCATTGACTTTGTCCTTTAAATCATGGTCTTCTTATGTTGCTATGGATGGCATCAAACTGCCTGCTTTCCTTCTTCAGCCTCTCGGGTGTTTTTTGGCTGTGTATGTTTTAAATCTTCTGCCAAATGGTTCCAAAGCCGACTGAGAATCTACAACCATTTGTCAAATGGACCCTACGCAGAAAAAAAGATTATACAGTTTCCTCAAAGATCACTGGACATCTGTTCTGAGTGGCTATTAGTGCTGAAAAATATATTGGTGCTGTGTCTTCTGCCGTCAGAAGGGCTTAACTTCAAGAAGGCTTCTTGGGCCACAAACACATTGTTCCTTATGACCTTTTTGTTCGGTTGTGTCCTGTAATAGTGGCACTGAACAACCCAAAGAACCCCACGCTGACTTTGACCACAAATTGTCCACTGCGGTCATTTCTTAACCACTGTGGTTAAGAATGACAATGGGGAAGTCTCTTGGGCCGTCTCCTTCTTGCCAAGACAGTAAGGTGGAAGTCGCAATGCATCCTGTGGGCCACTGTAAACCTCAGGATGATTAGGAAAGACATATCATACTCCGATTCCACTCAGCTGACTGGAATGTTCAAGTCAGATGGGCCTTGCAGAATGACTCTAGGTGACCCGAGAGTTACTCAGAAGGTGACTACGAGCACAGCTGGTCCCCAGCTGTGACAACTTCACTGAATCGTGTAAACATAGCTTGTGGCATATGGGAAGCAGTCATTCATCTACCCAGTGCCCTTTGCTCCAGAGCAGTTGGTAAAGACAGAAGCCACCACTGGGAACAACAGGAGAACTTTGCAGCCCCACCTCAGGGCTTTCTGCTTTCTTCCCTAATGCAATGTAGTTCTCAGAGAGATCTAATTTTTTTGGAATTCCAGAGTGGACCACTGTAAGCCACTCTTTGAGTGTTTGCTTACAGTGTGGAGTATTCAGGGGGAAATGAGTGCAGAATGCCACAGGGAGACGTGTGCAAATGGAAGGGGTGAAGTCAGCCAGAAGCTCTC